TCTCTGATGCTGCTTGGCCTGCTGTGTTCATCCAGCTCTACACCTTGGTATCTCAGATTCTCCATCATCTGCAGTTTCTACTAGCTCAGAGACTTCTTGGACCTGATCTAATGTGAAGCCAGAAAATTGATGCGCATGTTTTAAATTTTCTGAAGTGGATCTACAATAAATGGCTTTCATGCACATGCAGACTAGCAATGGTTAATTACTGAAAGTAGATACTGGTAGAGTGCCATTGGGAATCATCAGTTGACACTCAAACAGCGTCACTGACGTATTATACTAACATTTAGTCAGTAGCTACTCAATGTCACTATCATACTGAGATTCAGTACCATTATGCCACAGGAATACTTAATAAATGGAAGATGCCAGAAAAGTTGGGCAGGTTTCAGTCCTGCTTTCATACCATTTTTATTGTCAGGTTGTACATGCCAGTATTAGAATGTCAGGTGAGACTGCTCACTCACAAAAGGCTGGATGTGACCCATTGATTTTCTATTCTGCTCAAACATGTGGCACTTAAATACACATAACTAGCACAAGTGATTCAGCAAGGCTAGAAGAAACTCTACAATTGGCAGTGCAATACAACTAACAATTATTAACATGTTTTTGATCGCCTTCCTCGATTTTTTTTTGCATAGAGACACCAATTTCAGAATCCAAAAGTACTTCTAAATCCATTGAACAATAATCTTTTATATGATCCCATTGTGACAAATTTATGTTTTTCACACTGGCATATATACAAAGCAAAACATAACTCATCACTATTGTTAATACTTACTTATAAGTTGACAAAATAGTTTTGAATACGTACTTGATTTTCGAGAAAGCAACAAAAGCTTTTGAGGAAAGGTCACTTCACAAAAGAGTGCTTACCTTACATTCAGTAGGAGTTAGTTGTAGAATGCAAAAACCAAAATAGGCACACAATGACACATTCCATCACAATCATAAAATTAGCGCATTAATACCTTGCAGCGCATTAATACTTCTGAAATTCCATTCATCAATTCAATAATGCAGAGTCTTTACTTTTCTGTTCCCTTACAAAAGTCCTATATACAGAGCTACAGTATATAAATCTTCTTTCAGTGTTGATAGAACTCCACATGTATTGTCCAAGGTGCAAAGGAAGAAAGCTTCCTATCGGATACTTAATCTGATTTGTGATCCTTTGTAGACAGGTAAGCAATAGCAAGACAAACAAAGTTGTCACTGTCCCATAGGACATTAGGGCTGCATGCTCATTAGTGAGGGATGATTGGTGGTCATTTAACCTGATGGTCACCATGCCTCAGGTGAAAGGTGTGGTTGATAAGGTGAGATCTTAGTACATCAAATACAATAACTGATGCGCTAGTCTGGATGAATGTCAACATCTTTCTAAATTTAATTACCAACAAATTAGTCAAATGAACTTCCCATCTATTGCACAGTATACTCAATCCATGTTATTATTGCAAAATAAAGCTCAACTTATACTGTACCTGGCAACATGCGAAAAAGCATCCACAAGAACTCCCTCAAAAGCCTTGGTGAATTCAGGACCTTTCCTCTTACTGTTCTGAATGACATCATTAGCCAGGTAGATGAAAGTCAATTTCCTGCTTGGTTTAGCTGTTACATAAAAAAGGTTGTACTTAATGATGACAAAAACATTCAGATATATAATCTTTCTGCACACCAGGTAAGAGTTTTCAATTAGAAACCACAAACTGCAGATAACTTACCACAGAGTGATTATCTTTATGGATTAAATGTGTGACTGCAAATCTGATTTAAAAATTGCTTGGGTTGGTGGTGATTGAAACCATGTAAAGATCTTTTAATTGGTAAATTTTTTGTACTATTTGGAAGATAAAAATTGTTTAAATGTAGCCTCCAATTGAGTCAATTTCCCTGAAATTTAACACCATTATTCTGCAGGGTAGATGATGTCCTAGTGGTTTTACTGCTAGACCATGAATCTAGAAACCCAAATAACGTTCTGGTCCCTGGTTGGAATTCAATTAAAAAACTGGAATAAAGAATCTATTGATGCCCATAAACAATTGTTGATTGATGTAAAAACCCATCGTACTCAGTCATGTGCCACCCTCACCTGGTCTAGCCTACATGGGACTCCAGACCCACAGGCAATGTGGTTGACTCTTAATTACCTTCTGAAATGGCCTAGCAAGCCACGAATTGTAGCAATCGCTACAAAGTCTCATAAAAGAAATGAAACTGGACGGACCACTTTGCATCAATTTAAGTACTGGAAAAGACAATGGCAGAAACAGCCCTGTGGACCCTGCAAAGTCCTCCTTACTAACATCTGGGGGTAGTGCCGAAATTGGGAGAACTGTCTCAAAGACTAGTCAAGCGACAGTGTGACATTGTCTGTGATGCAATGTTCCATAAGTATGACTATATCCCAGACACCACCATCACCATCCTTGGATATATTTGGTCCCACTGGCAAGACAGGCCAGCAGAAATGGCGACACAGTGGTATAAAGCGGGGAGGGAGTTGTCCTCTGAGTCCTCAACAGAAGTTTCTGAAGAAGGGTCTAGGCCCGAAACGTCAGCTTTCCTGCTCGGCCTGCTGTGCTCATCCAGCTCTACACCTTGTTATCTCAGATTCTCCAGCATCTGCAGTTCCTACTATCTCTGAAACAAGAGGGAAAAACATACTTGACCTCATCCTTACCAATCTGCGATCTGCAGATGCACCTGTCTATGACAGTATTGCTAAGACAGTGACAACCACACAGTCCTTGTTGAGACAAAGTCCTGCTTTCACATTGAGAACAACCTCCATCGTGTTTGTAGCACTATCACCATGCGAAATGGGAGAGATTTCGAATAGATCTAGCAACTCAAGACCTGGCATCAAAAGCAGCAAAATTCACGGCCTGGCATGTCCCATACCCAAACACTACCATCAACCTAGGGAATCAACTTTAGTTCAATGCACAGTGCGTGACAGGCGCAGCACTAGGTATACCTAAAAATGATATGTCAACCTGACGAAGCCACCAAAGAGGGCCATTTGCATGCCAAAACAACATAAGCAGCAAGTGATAGACAGAGGTAAGCAATGGCACAACCAACCGATCAGATCTAAGTTCTGCCACATCCAGTTGTGAATGTCGGTGGACAATTAAACAACGCACTGGAGGAGGCGGCTCCACAAATATCCCCATCCTCTTAAGTGCAAAAGTTAAGGCTTAAGCATTCGTAGCAATCTTCAACTAGAACTGCTGAGTAGAAGATCCATCATTGTCTCCACCATCACAAATTCTAATCTTCAGCCAATTTGATTCACTCCACGTGATATCAAGAAACAATGAAAGCATGGGATACTGCAAAGACGATGGGCCCTGACAACATTCGAGCAAAAGTACTGAAGACTTGTGCTCCAGAACTTGCCACTCCTTTAGGAAGCTTGCCCAGTGCAGTTACAACACAGGCATCTACCCAACAATATGGAAAATTGTCCAGGCATGTTCTGTACTCAAAAAGCAGGACAAATCCAACCCAACCAATTACTGCTCCAGTCTTCTATCAATCAATAAAGTGATGGAAAATGTAATTAACAGTGCTGTCGAGCAGCACTTGCCTAGCAATAACCCACTCAGTGACCCCCAGTTCAGACTCCACCAGGGACACTCAGCTCCTGACCTCACTACGACCTTGGTTCAAACATGGACAAAAAAAGCTGAATTCCAGACGTGAGATAAGAGTGATAGCCCTTGGCATTAAGGCCACATTCATTGAGTGTGGCATCCAGGAGCCCGAGCAAAACTGGAATCAATGGGTATCAGGAGACTAACTCTCTGCTAGTTGGAGTCATACCTGGCCCATAGGAAGATGGTCGTGTTGTTGAAGGTCAGTTATCTCAGCTCCAAAAGGCATCTCTTCAGGACTTCCTCAGTGTAGTTAGTGTCGTAGGCCCAACCATCTTCAGCTGCTTCATCAACGATCTTCGCTCCATCATAAGGTCAGAAGTGGGGATGTTCGCCAATGACTGCAGAATGTTCAGCACCATTCGTAACTCCTCAGGTACTGAAGCAGTCCATGTTCAAATGCCACAAGTTTTAGATAACATCCAGGCTTAGACTGATAAGTGGTAAGTAACAATAACGCCACACAAATACCAGGCAATGACCATCACCCATAAGAGATAATCTAACCACTGCCCCTTGACATTCAATAATGTTACCATCACTGAATTGCCCACTATCAACATCCTTGGAGTTACCATTGATCAGAAACTCAACAGGAATCGCCACATAAAAACAGTGACTACGAGAGTAAGTCAGAGGCTAGGAATACTGCACCAAGTAACTCATCTCCAGACACCCCAAAGCCTGTCCACCACCTACAAGGCCCAGGTCAGGGGTAGATAGATGAGTGCAGCTCCAACAGTTCTCAAGAAGCTTGACACCACCCAGGACAAAGCAGCCCACTTGATTGGCACCACATCCCCATACATCCACTCCCTCCTCTCTGACCTCAGTCGCAACATTGTGTACTATCTACAAGATACACTGCAGAAATTCATCAAATGTCCTGAGGTAGCACTTCCAAATCCACAGCTACTTCCATCTAAAGCAACAAGGGCAGCAGACACGTGGGAACACCACCGCCTGTAATTTCCCTCTAAGCCACTCACCATCCTGACTTGGAATTATATTGCTATTCCTTCACTGTAGCTGGGTCAAAATCCTGGAATTCCTTCTCTAACTGCATTGTAGATCAACCCACAGATATGAACTGCAGCGGTTCAAGAAGGCAGCTCACTACCACCTTCTCAAAGGCAATTAAGGATGGGCAACAAATGCTCACCAGCCAGCAATTCCATGTTCCATGAATGAACAAAAGGCATTTTAAAGAAAATGTTGGACATGGATTGACTTAAGAGATTTCCATGGCGAATGTAGAGATTAATAATGACAGTCAAATGCCAAGCTTCATTTAAATTTTAAATCAGAGAGATTAACTCCACTTAGTCAGGCATTACCCTGAGAAATGAGCCAGCAAAAGAATGTCACCTATCTTGTTGAGCGTTGAGTCAAAACAGGCACAGCATGTTGTGTGTGTAAAAGGCAGGGCCTTAAGCATAAATGTACAAAGCTTCCTGTACACACAAGTATGCCACACTGTGTGCCTGACCAACAATCCTAGATTGTTTGCTAGCTTACTTTTATGCACACTCAGGATTATCCAGCAATTGCTGTCAAATTGCAGAATCAGCGTTGAACACTGCACTGAGTTTTGTAAACACAGGCTGGTAGGGTGCAGTCAGTACCACGTTTCTTGCAAACAAACAAAGGGATATTGTGGTTGATACAATGTACCAGATTTTGGGACGTATGATGTACATACTCACCATCAGAGTAGCACTGAAATCTATATACCACATTCCTTAGAGTCCACTTGGCAACTTATCTGCATTCTCCCCTCATACAATATAAATTGGTTTTCCCTTGAATTGGTATTCTTGCAAAATGCCCTGATGAGTGCAAGATGAAAAACTTTTAACAAAATGAGTCTTTTTTTCACCAACACTCATCTGTATAACCAGACAACTATTTAAATAAAATACTTTACACTGGTTTAGAAAATTAAACTAATAAATATATGACCACAACTCAAGAAATGCTCATCTCAGATCTGATACTAGCGAAACAGGGAAAGATAATTTGCAAACAGGAATTGTTCTCACTTTTCGTACCTATACTGCAGAAAGAAGCTTCTGCTTTAACTCACCTATGTTTTGCCTCACACAATTTTATCTTCTGCAATTTCTTCAGGACGTCAAAAATTTTCACATGCTTTTAGCCTCTTGCTAACTTAACTAACCATATTTTTTAACAAAGTCATACAAAAAATTTCAGAAGGAGTTGCTGAAATGTTGCTGTGCACCAGTTTAACATAATGAGTACAAACTATTGTTAATGGCATAACTATCCTTTAATGGAGAAAGTTGCTGAGGCATAAAATAAATGAACTTGCATCTAAGTATTAGCTAGTTCTAACATAGCAAAAGTATGATGCAAAGATCCAGGAATAGAGAATAAATCTTGCTATTAATAAAGCACTGAAAGCCTACCTGCTGCTCAACTGGTAACTGAACTTACCCCGTTAACTGAAAGCAGAGAAAGTACTCACTCACGTTCCTTCTATCACAACATATTCCTCTTCCTCCCAGATACTACTCTCCAGACTTGCATACCCTCATTGAAAAAAAACCACTTCACTCCTTTTCAGGATGGATGGAAAAGTCACACAAAACAGACAAGGAGAAAGGGAAATGTGGAAAAGTCACACAAGCAGATGTGCAATGCAACCAAAAGGCAACTTAAATGTATTAGCAGTAATTCACTGAGTTGTACTTTGCTTTCATACCTTTTGCTTTCATCTTGTCAAATTATAGTTTACTTCAATGTATGCAAAGAAATAAATATGAATATTTCTGTTGTTAATGAAAACAAACAGATCCCATTGAGTAATCCAGGCTAAAATATTAACAGAAAGTGCTGGTTAAACTCAGCAGGTTTGACAGCATCTGTGAAGAGAGAAGCAAAGGTGACAGAGCCTGATATGACTCTCCCTCAGAACGTTCCATAGAAGAATTACATTGGACTCCAAATGTTATCTTTGTTTCTCTTTCCAAAGATGCTGCCAGACCTGAATTCCTCCAATGCTTTGCTTTTATTTTCGGCCTTCAGCAACTGTATTGTTTTGCTTTTATTTCAGTGAACCAACCTATTAGCACAGATCTCTAAAAATGTAATTAGTTTTATATTTCCAAAGTGCCCAGGGTACCTTTCTTTTAAAAAAAAAAAAAAAGGCTGAGCAAAATGTATTATTTTCTCTGGTCAAGATCAGAGATACAGCAATCTGGAAAAGGATGTCTGTGTTTTATCTCCCTGCCAGGCAAATCTGTCATTAGATTACAAGACTTGAAAGAATAACTAAGACCATTATTGGACAAGAACAGCACATGTAGGACAGTAAGAAAGAGACAGAATAGTGATGCAACCATCTAAAAGTTCTATAATGTAAATTCCAAAAGAAGGTGGAAACAATGGTTTGGCGTTTTATAGCGACTGCATATTTTAAAGAATAAAATTATGGACTTTATCTCCTACCTCTTTACGAAAGTCTTATTGGAAATGCTGGAAAATAGTGTGAACATTAATCAACTTAACTGAGAGGAATAATGCAGTTCAATATGCAACAGAAATAACCCTTTCAAATGGGGAATTTGCTGTCCCTAATGCTTTACAGGAACTAATCATTAAAAGATTACTTGTATCAGTTTCAAAATCATTGCTTTAGAAGCGGTGTGATACTCGTTCAATAGATTGATTGCTAGAAGATTCAGGACTTGGGGGCTTGACGGTAAAAGCTGAGCTCTATTAGCCTGGATGAGAGTGTCCAGAATCAGAGCTTGAGTTTAGTGTAAAAGGTAATGGTCATTTCAGGCCAAGCTGAGAAATTTCTCCATTCAGAAGGTTGTGAACCTTTCAAATTCTGTGCCCCAAAGAACTATCAAATTCAGTGTTGAATCAAGGCTCAATAGATGTTCAAATGCTGAGGGATGCAGGAATCAAGAAGGAATGCAGGATGGCGGCCAAGGATCAGCCATGATCTTAGTAAATGGCAGAGCACCATGGTAAGCTAATGGCCCACTTTTCCTCCCATTTCTTATACTCAACACTGTTTTTTATGCAAAATTGATTGAATCATTTATTGCTATGTGTATTAAATATAAAAATGGTGAAAATAATAAAGATAGTAAGAGTGTCTAAATAAGTTTACCACTAATGTAACATAACCATTCTGGGGAAAATTAGAAGCAATGTTAACACAGAAACTTCACTTTCCCAATCAAATACTAATAATCTTTCAAACAATATGAAATATACTCATTCTAGCTTAACTACAGGAAACTGTGCCAAAGTCTTAATCTTCTAACATACCACAGTTTCAAATCACAACCTTCAAATCTACAAAACATCTGGCATTTAACACTGAGGTTAACACAACTGCTTTAGACACTTTTTCGTGAATTAAGGAATAACTTGATCAATGAACGTAACATACATTTTGGTCCTACGCCCTTCACAAAGGCGTCAAGTATGGCTCAACAGCAATCTCATCCGAGAGAGATATCTGTGGTCCCATAGCCAATCAGTGACTGTAGCACACAGGCGGTCACACCAGTGTATTACTAAGGGATGTAATGGAGTGTCAAAGTTGTCATTTTAGGATGAAACTTTAAACTGAACCCAAGGGTAATGGAGAAACTCTCTGGAGAAAGTCAGTAGTTAGCCCTCAATTATCATCCAAAAGCTGCTTGCAGGAGAAATGTGAACACTTGTTTCTTTCGTTACAGCGGTAACGAAACTTCAAAAGGGGGTTCATGCGCTGTGAAGGTTTTTTTTTTAAGCATGTACCGAAGCGCTACATAAACACAAACGTTTATCCTCTTTTCTCCGTGAGTAATGCACTGCTCAAACTGGAAGCGTTCCAGACACGGGAGGCGCTGAAGCCTAGAGGCGGGCAGGTGAGAGCGGCAGTGCCCTCCCTTCCCCGGCTAAGGACAGGTCCAACTGAGCAGCCTAAACCCGCTCGAGGGAGCCAGCCGCTCACCTCGCTTCAGCTCCCGGTGCCAGACGTGCACGATGATCCCTGCGTGTTTCCGATGATGGATGAGCCACAGAGAGAGGGTCTGCACACTCTGCTGTGAGTTACTCAGCTCAGCGAGCTTCTTCTCGAGGGCGGACTCGGAGAAGGAGGACATATCTCTCTCTCTCTCTCTCTCTATGTAAGTATGTATCGGTCAATCCTGCTGTCTGCCCCAATCGATCCCTCAGGAGCTAACACGGCAAAATGGCGGCCTGCCCTCTCACCCCACCAACCTCCCGGCGGGGTCAAAGGTCGCAGCGCCGGCCCGGCCACGTGACCGCCCGCGCCAAGTCGCGGGACAATGACAGCGCGAATCTCCGCAAACAGTTTGCTGTATCCGCTCATCGCTGGGTTTTGAACAGTTATTCAATCCAGAAATTTCTGACTCAGGGCGGCCGCCGTTAACGCGCAGGCGCAGAAACTAGCACCCGCCCCCCCCGCCATTGGAGTTGGCGCATGTGCAATATCGTCGGTCATCCCTTGAGCGTCAAGAAAGCAGAACTGGACAAAATGTTAGTATATTGGAGAATACGGAATCTGGATCCACACCTATAGAACAGAAACAGAAGTTGCTGGAAAAGCTCAACAGGCCTGGTAGCATCTGCGAAGAAAAAAGATCAGAGTTGACGTTTCGGGTCCGGTGACCCTTCCTCAGAACGTTAACCCTGATTTCTCTTCACAGATGCTGCCAGACCTGCTGAGCTTTTACAGCGTCCGCAGCTCGTTCTGTTTTTATCCATACCTATCTAGTATTGGAGAGCGAGGAGTCTGTATCTATGTGTATAGTATATTAGAGCGAGGAGTCTGTATCTATGTGTATAGTATATTGGAGAGTGAGGAATCTGTATCCACATCAGCAGATACTGATGAATGAGAAATCTGGATCCACAGCTATGATACGCAATAGAGTGAGGAGTCTGGATCCACA